ATATATAGGGGCTTAGTCCTCTTTTCACCCTATATATTCTCACCCTTTGCTTCTGCTGCTTTAATTGCATGTTGTGATGAGGACCACTTTACATATATATATTCAATTTAAATAATTCCAGAAGCTCATTGATAGCCGCTGGTTTGCAATATTAATTAATAAAATAAAATAAAAATAAGTTAACCTAGCTAGCTAATCATGCTCCTATTCATCTTTTGATTACAAGTTTCATTAATGGTATCTGTGGCGAAGCTAGCTTCAAACTTCTCTTAAACATCAATTAGCCTTTTTACTTTATATTGGAAAAACAAAAAATTAATAACCCATTCAAATAAATATATTTAAAATTTAAAAAAAGAAAAGAAAAAAAAGAAGAAGAGGTATGTAGAAGGAGAAACAGTGCGTGTTTCAACCTTTTGTGCGTGCATATATTCTAACTTGTTTGAATTCTAGTGTTTATCATGTACTTGATTGTGTGAATCTGTTTCTCCTAATAAATATTATTTCATATATATATATGTATGTATGTTTGTGGGAGTATAGTTACAGAGATATCTGAAACAGTACAATCTACAGTCCCTTCCTCATTGGATCCGATACATAAAGAACTGTAGTTGCTCCATCTCCAGCTACAGCCAAGTATTTGTACTGCACCCAAAACTTACCGGACAACACAGTGAAACCTTGGATATAAATATATAACTTTTTTATGATGCTCAGGTCAGGTTACGCTATAAAAATGTGTAATTAGGGTTAATTCCAGACAAGTAATGAAACCCAGCAAAGCAATTAGGGTTAGGGTTTCAGTAATATGCTTCCCAAGGTCAGAAGGGGTGACTTGAACTTGTGCAGATTAAGCGTTTGAGATTAGACAAAACATTGTGTGAGATTGTGTCTGAGGGAGAGAGAGGGTGACCTTGATTTGAATTTCCTTATATTCTTCGACTTCCCTGTCTAATTCTATTCATTCCATTGATATGTTTTTTTCCTTCTTTTTTCGTGAACTGTAGCGGCACCAAACTTTCATCATTCAAAAACACGCACACCATCTTTTCTGTTTCTCTCTTCACTTTTGTCAGTCCTCTCTCTCTCTTCTCTCTCTCACACAGAAAGATATTACACTCATACAAATCAATAAAAGTTAAACCTGTCTTCTATTTCTCTCTCATACACACAATTCACACACACACACACACACATATGTACAGAGTCTGAAAGAATCGTATCTGGATCTGGGTCAGGCAGTGGTTCTAGTGAGAGTCAAGTCCATTGTCCTCCAATTATTACTATCGTTGCCTCCTCTCCTGTCCTCTCCTCTCCTCTCCTCTCAGCCAAACCCTCCTCGAGATCGCAAAAAGCCCAAAAGCCTCACCTTTTTCTTCCTTGGAAAGATGGGGGGAACCAAATCCAATCTTCTCATCTCAATTCCACATCATATCTTATAGTCTTCCCCACTCCACCCAACAACAACAAAAAAACTTATATTTTCAACTTTACTTGATGCAGATACCAAATCAGTTAAATCTACGTTACAAGAAATGTTAATATATATTAACATATGTACACGGGCACTACATGAGTATTATCAATCCACTTATATTATAACGCTTATAACGCACTATCATGATATTACAATATCTCTTAAATCAAATACATACTAGGTTCTAGCAATTGATATATTCAATGTCAATCAATCTTTATCCTTTTAAATACTCTTCCAAATGTTAAATATATATGTGTAGGGAAAAGTATGATACTGTGTCAACTGTGGGTTGAGGGGGGCCTCTGCTGTGGTGGGGAACAAGTATGGCTTTCTGCAGTTGTTGTTTTTCTTGTTTATTTTTGTTTTGGTTTGCAATAATTATTCATTCAGAATCCATCAACCCATCAATCTTCTTCTCTGCAAAGACGTGGAAAAGAAGCAATTGGAGCTGGTGAAATATGGCAGGAGAGGTTTATTACTATTTCAAAGGACAAGAAAGACAACATGACGTGGGGCTCCTATTTTCTGCCCCCACCTCAAAGTCTTTATGTTCCCACCTTAAATTCATTCATGGGGCTTACCAAAGTACAGTGCTATATATATATATATACACACAACATATATGTACATATATATCTTTTAGCAAGTTGCAAGTGTTTTACCCAAGGTCGTCTTTCTTGAATGTTTGTCAATAATATATATTTCTAGGGTTCCAAAACAAAATGTTATTACCTTTTGATCAATATATATGAACTATTAATTCTTATTATTAAACATTTTATTTACTGAGAATTAATTGAACTTGTACATTCTACACAAAAGTATTGGACCTCTACACAAAAATGGTAAGTTTTCATTCTTTATCTCCTATTTCTCGGTCCAACCGTGTCAAACTGTTATTTATAGAAAGGAAGTAAGCAGTATAAATTACCACCCAAAAGAAACTCCAGCTACAACTTGTGCAACGTACCCTATTGCAGTTGTTATAAAAACTTGATGTCGAATAGTTTTGGACATCTAAAAAAGAGTGGCCCATGGAGTTGATAAACACTCAATCATCTGAGCTAGAACAGTGTACCAGGCTGTCTATGAAAATGGTGGAAGCTGAAAACAAATCTCTCTTTGTTTCCCAATGCCACTGTATTTGCATTCCTTCCCTTTCATCCCCTTTTCAGTAAAGCATTCGACCCCAAACAATAAATTAACTTGTATGGTCTTACCTAATTATGCAGACTTTTATGAGCAAAATTCAAACTTGGTTGAATCGCTTTCTCTAAATTCTCCACTAATGCAATTATTGAATGCTTCTGTCAGAACCATATCCAATTTTGCTTTTGAAGATAACGCAACATATCTGACAGGGGCTGCATCAAATGGTTTTAAATTACAAAAAGAAACCCAAAAATAAAAATTAGAGAAAGAGAAAACGTCAGATCCAAAGAACATGGAATATATATCACAAATTGATTGGCAATGATAATGCATTCGGCAGATTTAGCGCCGCTAGTGCATCATGATCTGAATCTAACGAAACACTAATTTTAAGATTGGCTATGTATAATTAGTAGTATCAAAGTAAGTTGCTAACTTTCTCCTATGCAGAGGCGTTATTATCCTACGAACGTGATGTATGTTATATTATCCCTCCATACTTTCTTCTCTATTTACAATAGCATCCGATATTCGAATGAGCGAATAAATATATGTCATCACTTCACGTACGGCACGTGCACGAATTCTAAAAAAGGTGTGGTATGTGGCTAACAACCACTGAATAACGTATATGTATATAAATTAGATCGACATCTTTATATTATTCCCCACAATGCTTGGCCTTGATATATTTATATTATATGATGAAAAGTGGTTCTTGTTTCAGATTACCAATGATGGTAGCCATGATGGTGGCCATTACAGCGATTATAAACAAACAAAAGATTATGGGTTAAAGAATTACATTCTGCCTTTAAGCAATCATTTGTCAAGTCAAATTGTATATCTTATACCAAGGTATATATTACACAAGAATCCTAGCCGATATAAACTTTGAGAAGAATAAGTATATTTCGTTTTTCCAAAGTATAACATATTGTGTAGTGCTGACCCCTTTCACATATTATTATTTGAGGGGGAATTAGGAATACGATCTCTAAACCATATGTGCACAAAGTGTTGCTTTCGAATATATATATGGCCCAATTTTTGACTTGAGGGAAATGAGATGAGCCTATCAAGTTGCACGGTTCTAATAATATTCAATGCAGAGAGAATTTATAGCTTCAAATTTCAATGGGTTAAAAGCATGACGACAAATACAATGTTCAATTTTCACTATAGTGGTTCGTGTTGGTGAGTCCTTACTTAGTTAGAATTTGAGTTCTTTACTATGTTAGGATTTTGGTTACTTACCCATTTGGGTTCCTTCAAGCAAAGATTTTGTGTAGATTTTCAAGAATCTGAAGATACCCCTTGTGCTACAAGTTTTCCAAATGTACACACAATATCCTTACCAACACCTACTCAGCTATACATTGATTTGAAGTAAAAGGAAGTGATCGATTTTTAGTACAAGCGATTGAGGTAGAGGGACTTACAGAAATATTCATTGAGTGTCTTGAACTTTCGAACATCTACTCACATGGCCGAAGGTGAAAGAACTCAACCAATTAAACTAAAACCCACTGACAAAATGAGTGATCGTCAGGAGAACATAATAGTTCATTCCATCATATATGAAAAGAAAAGCAAAACATAGGCTCAATCCATATCTGTTTGGGTTTCAGCTGAAGTTGGGCTTGCATATTGCCAAACATAGGCTCAGTCAATCCTTTACTATAATGGGCTGGCTAAGCTTTAGGAAGGAAGCGATCCAAATAATACATGTTTTTCAGTCGGCGAGCCTTCTGGGTCTAGTGGTTATATGATGAACACAAATAACTCTGTCATAACAATGGCTCGATCGAGTTTGCAAACGGGATGAAGCCTTCATGCCATTCTTTTTATGAAATTGTTTACTGAATAAATTAATAAAACGTTATATAATATGACAACGTTGTACCTTGGTTACTAGGCTTCACCATTGTTTTCTTTTGTCGGTTTATCATACTGGATATTCATTGCAATATTTTCACACCGATTAAGCAGAAAAACAAAAAACGAACACGCAAATTCTGAAACGCACACTGCCATTTGCATTTGCACCAAACAATCCATCCCCAGTTCACAAATCCAAAATAAGACACAAAAACCAACACAAATTTGATGATAACACTTGAACACTCACGCAAACCCTCACTCTCCATGCATCCAACAAGTGTCCCCGTCCCTCCACTTGTCCCCTCCACCCTCTCCTTTAAACCCCTCACCCCCTCCTCTTCCCCTCTCTCCCCCAACTCTCTCTCTCTCTCTCTCTCTCTCCCTCT